GTATGACTTCCGAGGTTTAGGGGGGGGTTCGGTTTGAGATTTGGCTAGCTCGTTACACTCATCTCTGCTCTTAAGGGTACGAATTCCGAGGTTTGGGGGGGTTGGGTTTGAGATTTGCTGCCTCATTACATTCACTGAGATTCTAACAAAACTTCCTGGCTGAGAGAAATAGGAATTGGGCTTGGGGCTGGAGGGCTTAACCCTACAGAGCAGTCTTACTAATTGTTCACGCCCCTGGATTGCTCGGGCTGTAGAAGCTTCCTGTCATGGTGTATTGCAGGTTCGAAAGTGTTCGTTGATTCGTTAACCTTAAACCCTAAAGAACCCTGAACCCTAAACCCTGAACCCTGAACCCTAAACCCTTAAATCCTAAACCCTTAACCCCCAAAGCCCTAGGAGTTGCATTGTGCATGCAACCTCGGCAGGCTTTTTTTTCTGCTGAAGCAGAGTTAGGACTCTCGTCATGGCCGAAGAAGCGCCGGCGACACCACCTCCGAAGAAAGGTCGGAGGAGGAGGGTTGCTGATCTTTCGGGGTTGGCACAGGCCTGGGAACAAGAGAAGGATGTGAGAAAGGGAGCGAGGAAGAGGAAGTGTTTGCTTCAGTGGAAGGATCCTACCAAGGTTGGTCTCATAGGCTTCAGCAGCATCAAGGACAACTGGAAGGTGCTTCTGCATTTGATCAGCATTTACTGTCCCGACTCCCCGCCGTCCAAGACAGTTCCGGTTGATGATGTCAAGCCCCAGGTTGCTTGGGTGCACAGATCGATGTTGCTGAATCGGAAGTATTGTTATTGAACATTGCAGCATCCTCAATCCTCCAACTTTCCTAGGTTGAGAAGTTCTACGACGAGATTAATGTGACCCCGAAATCGGGCCTGGTTCACTGTGAGAGCCATTCGCTGAAGATGTTCATTACCTTTTTGAACCGCCGGCATGATGGCAGCAGTCGCAAGGATTCTTTTCTGCATTGTACAGAACTGAATGTATCTATGGTGCACTAGCTAGACCCGAACCAAAGTCGACTTAT